AGTTTTATGTGATGTATGCCCTATGGATGCTTGTCATATCTTATTGGGTAGACCATGGCAATATGATAGATTTGTCAAGTTTAATGGTAGGACAAATGTGTATATAATTCGAAAAGGAAAGGGGGAAAAATCATATGCATTGAAACCACTTGTTGATCATAGAATTAACCCTAGTTCAAAAGGTGCATATTTAATTGGGGAAAAGGAGTTGGAGAAAGAGATCAACAACAACAATATAGTATATATTATGGTGGCTAACAATGTGCAAGTGAATGAAAGTAAACAAGAAAAGAGGCCCGTGGAATTAGAAGTAGTATTGCAAGAGTATTGTGATGTTTTTCCTAGTGAATTACCACCGGGATTACCACCAATTCGTGGTATTGAACATCAAATTGATCTTATTCCGGGAGCTCCACTACCTAACAAGGCAGCATATAGAAGTAATCCGGAAGAAACAAAGGAAATACAACGTCAAATAGAGGAATTGATGCAAAGAGGCTACGTGAAAGAGAGTATGAGCCCATGTGCCGTGCCTACATTGTTAGTTCCAAAAAAAGATGGGAGTTGGCGTATGTGCATTGATAGTAGGAGTGTGAACAACATAACCATCAAGTATAGATTTCCTATACCTAGACTTGATGATTTGTTAGACGAATTGCATGGTTCAAAGCTATTTTCCAAGATGGCTCATTTCATACCTTGTCACAAAGTGGACGATGCTATGAAAGTGGCGGAATTGTATTTCAAGGAAGTGGTGAGACTACATGGGTTGCCGAACAGTATTGTGAGTGATCGTGATACAAAGTTCATGAGTTTCTTTTGGAAATCACTATGGAAGTTGGTGGGAACGAAGCTGTTATTTAGTACATCATATCACCCGCAAACGGACGGACAAACGGAGGTAACAAATCGAACTCTTGGTGTGCTTTTACGTGGACTAGTGAGCAAAACACAAAAAGATTGGGATATTAAGCTTGCTCATGCCGAGTTTGCTTACAATAGATCACCTACTTATGCCACAAAACACACACCATTCGAAGGTGTTTATGGTGTCAATCCAAAAATGCCCATTGATTTAATTGAAATTCCAAAAGGGGAAGTGATTCATAAGGATGCCGAGACTAAAATCAAGTACATGATAAAGCTACACGCACAAGTTAGAGCTAGGATTGAACGTGTCAATGAACTCTACAAAGCACGAGCTAACAAGAACAAAAAGCCACAAAGTTTTGAAGTTGGCGACTTGGTGTGGCTACACTTGAGAAAAGAGAGATTTCCTAACAAACGAAAGAATAAATTGATGCCAAGAAGTGAGGGGCCGTTCAAGATTATTGAGAAGATCAATGAGAATGCATATAAGCTTGAATTGCCGGGAGAATATGGTGTAAGCGCAACATTTAATATTGGGGATTTGGTGAAGTATTTGCCAGATGGTGCTATTGAAGATTTGAGGGCAAATTCTTTTGAAGAAGGGGAGGATGATGCGTGCATCAATGTGAACGATGAGCATGTTGAAGAATTATTCCAAGAAAGTCAAGAAAGCATGAATCTATACTTGGAAGCTTCTTCAATAGGTCAAACTTACTATCGGGGGCATCAAGACAAAGCCACGCTTTGTATGGTGGCGTTCTTGGGAGTTCTTGAAGCTTCTTGATAGTTCTTTAAGGTTTCTTTAAAAGCTTTCTTAGGTTTTTGCTTACAAGTTTTTACCTTTCACTTGAAAGGGTTTTTCTTGTTTTAAGCACTTAGGATTTCTAATTGCATTAGGAATTGTTTTAGTCTAGTAGGCGTCAATAATAGCTTGGAGTGCAAGCTTGAGTTAGGATAAAATAGGCAAGTTTTATCTTAAGAGTAGTTAGAGTTTAAGTAGGATTAAATAACTAAATCAAAGTTATCTAAACTTGATTAAGTTATGCAATCCGTGGGTTTTTGTTAGGGGATTAGAATTCTAATTCAAGTGGGATTAGGATAATTGATTGAGTTTATAAATATAGGGTTGTAATCTTCGAATAATATACAAGTTTAATCATACATTCATAATAATATTTCTTATTGCTTTTGTTTAAGTTGGATTACTTAAATTCTTGATTGGTGGATTCCAATTTGCTGTTTTGTTTGTTTTAGTTAAAACAATCACCTAGGTTGATTAATTAGGTGGATTCTTGATTAATTAATCTAAGTTTCTTGCTTAATTCTTGGTGAATTTTCTGTATAGAATTAGGTTAGATTCATATCTTTGTGAGGCTTAGTTTTCGGACTAAAAATCACATCAAAGGGCTGCATATAAAAAGCTAAAAGTGCAAAGAATAAACATAAAATTAACATTTATTACACCGATTTACTCGTGAATTGTTGATAAATTCCCAACTTAATACTAAAAAAAGGAAGTATATTAAATGCTTATATGCAGCCCTAAGGGCTGCATATAGCATTACCCTAATAATAATAATAACAACAACAACAACAACAACAACAACAACAATAATAATAATAATAATAATAATAATCATCAATAATTAATTAATAATAATAATATTAATAATAATAATAATATGTACATTTGTATATACACATATGTATAGTAATAAATAATCAATAAATAATCAAAGATCACTAATCTGTAGTTAAAAATCACTAATTAATAAGTTTAGTTCAGTTCAGCTGAGTTCAGTCAATCGGAACAAGCCCTAAGTCAAGTTCAAGGTAAATCCTTGGTAAATTTTCAATGGAAAATATTCACATATAAGACGTGAGCATTAATAGTAGTCTTATATTAATGTCACTTGGATTTTACCCTTACATTGTTTGGGACAGCAAAAAAAATATATCTGACAATAATTACATTGCATGAAAATGTATGTGATAGAAGATTTGTTACTTATGAACTACCAAAAAGTATCACTTACCTACCACTAATAATAAGTTACTAGGGGGAAAAAAAGTTTTATAAATTATAAGACAAAGCTTTCATTAATTAATCTAGTCTTAATTGTATTCCTTAGCATAGAACAACGCTTGTTAAATGTTGGTATTTGGGAAACTTTCAGCTTTATTTTTTCTAATACTATCTCCTATACGGCTATACGTATATTGGAGATCATGGGAAAGGGCATACGGTGTACAGCTCAAGTTGTTTAATTAAATTAGGAGTTGGTGAAGGTTCTTATTAATTAGACGGTATTCTATATTATATGCGTTAATCAAAGTTTATAAAAAAATAGAGTAGTCGAAACATGCATATTCACCAAGACTAATCCAACAATATATTACTAATCTAACAGAGTTCTAATTTTTATACATAATGTTTTTTTTTAAATAAAAAAATAAAAAAATATTCATCATAGCACTTAATTTTTATTTTTATTTTTAAAAAGAATAGCACTTATAAAAGTAAGAGCATAGGAAATAGTTTAATAAAGCTTTATCCAATAAGATAGATTCTTCATCTCAATATTTTAATATCTCTACCAAACCAAACCAAATTATGTATATTGTGTTTATTATTTGGAAGGTCAAAGCTTTAAATAAATGACATTCTAGGGCACTACCTAATTGTGATTAGTTTGGTGTTTTACCCTACCAAGGGTAAGAAGGGGTGGGAAGGGAGGGTATTTTGAACATTAAGCATCCGATCCAACGTTAATTTAATAACTAAGTTCCTCAAAAACTAGTGCCATGTGTTGGAAATAATGCAAAGGAAGGTTTCTTATTTTTGGAGGAAAACTCTTTGTCCCACATTGGTGGGATAAGGAAGGTTTTACTTGGTTTAAATATGTGTCTTTATACTTTGGTGTTTGAAGTGCTTTCCCTATTGTTGTGGGCTAGAAGGGGGCATCCCCACGCGCATGCTGCCGCCCGACCGGTTCGGTTCGTGGCACGTGTGCGGTGGGGCTACCTTTTTGGGCCAAGTCGTAACTGATATTCCAGTTTTTATGAGATCGTTTAGTTACGAAAGCTCGCAACAACCACTAGTAGAAAAATGTACATTTGCGTCGCCATATTTGCGTCACTCATTCTAAGAAGCGAAGCAAATGTTTATTTTTACCATCCTTTTAAGTTATTTGCGTCGCATATTATTCAAGAAGCGACGCAAAACTCAAGTTCATTTCAACTTTCTATCATTTGCGTCGCTCTTATTTATTAAAGCGACGCAATTAATAAACTTATTTGCGTCACTCATTTGTTAACAAGCGGCGCAAATAAGTGATTGAGTAAATTGCGTCACTCTTTTACTAAATGAGCGACGCATATGAGCTGTGTACAACATTATAAACAAGGTTATTTGCGTCGCTTTTTTATAATAAAGTGACGCAAATAACTCTTTTGGCTTTAGGTTATTCTGCGTTTTTTTGACCTTAGTTTTTCATCACGTACGTCTACATTCACTAAACAAAAAGAAAAAAAGCAAGAGTTATTCAATTCCAGTGAATTTCTACAGCAAAACACCCACAAATTCGTCTCTGAAATCCAACAAATTCGGCCAAAAAAACTGTGATTCCCCAACAAATTTAACATCTAAAATCGCAGTCAAGTTGAAGACCCATAATCGGCAGCAAATCCGAGCAATTTAGACCAAAAACCCTAAGAAATTCGAACCCTTAAACCCAGAAAAATTGATTGTTTCCGACCAAAAATCCCCCATTTCGAGCAAAAAATCAACTCAAAAGCATATGAATTCGAACCCTAGAAACCCCAAAAAATTCAATTTCGGTCTTCAAGTTCGATTGGGGGATTTCGAGGGGGGATTTCTAGTGTTTTTGGCAGCGACGCAAAATACCCTAAGAAATTCGTCCCATTTCAGTCATAAATAGAAATTGTTCGAATTTCAGTCAAGAAATTACAGCAACAATAGTTGATTTCAAGAAATTACAGCAACAATAATTGTTCGAATTACGTCTTTTTCTGGGTTTAAGGGTTCGAAATCCCCTATTTCAGTCATAAATAGAAATTGTTCGAATTCCAGTCAAGAAATTACAGCAACAATAATTCGAGGAGGGATTTCGGCTTGACATTGTTGAATTTGTGAAGTCAATTTCACCTAAGGTAAGATTGCTTCTATTTATGTTCAATCTTTTCATGGTAGATAGAATGTAGCATTTAACTTGAACAATGACTTAGTTTAATTTCAGGTTTAGTGTTAGTTCATTAATTAGAAAATATATATGGCAGATTTTAGTTGAATATATAACTGGTTGCATCTTTGAGCTGCTGATTTTTGAGCTGCTGGTTTGCAATATATTATTGATTTCAAATATATAGCTGAAATCGAGTGCATAGTATGACTATGTGAGCGGTTTTGCAAAAATAGATAAGCCACGTGCTGTCGATCGTCATCCTGGCCATTAAATTCAGTAACATTGACCCTTGTTTTTCAACTGTCTTATCTTTAATTTGCTGTAAAAATGCTGCTAAATAAATTATAAAATACATGTAAAATCTATGACACAATAATGTTCATGGAATGTGCTCAAAATAAGCTTTTGCACCCTAGCGGCCTAGCATCAATGAAAACATATATGAAGCACATAAAGATAGATGCTATCTTGATCTAAATTTAAAAATAAATGTGTATGGTCTTTTACTTTTTGTTGGAAGCTATATATAAATGAATGTAACAACATTACTTACATAGATGAGATTAGATCCTAAATATTGATTACCATATACAAATTAATAGATGGAAGAGCTTAAATTTGAGGTGATGATTTGAGTTAAAAGGTTAAAAAATAGAAATATATATATATATATATATATATATATATATATATATTTAGGGAATGTTATTAATTGAACTTATGGATTGGATGTCACGATTTCTCAAATTTCAACTCATAACAAACGTGGAAATTTTAACCTTTTAACTAAAATCATCACCTCAAATTTTAGCAATGTTGTTACATTCATTTATATATAGCTGTTATAAGGTTTTTTTATTCATTGGACTTTGATGGCAATATAACTTGGGATTTGTTAAACATCGCCCACAAATTACTACATAAAGCCCAAAAAATTCACTTGGTTTGACAAAATTGCCCTTGACCTTTAAAAAAAACACTCACACTCTCATCACTCACACTCTCATTGCTCATCTTCTTTCAACCTCTCTTAAAAAAAAAAATTCAAACAACGGCAATGTCGAGGCGGCAAGGCAAGGAATTGGCGGCGGCGGCGGAGGGAAGGATGTCCCAAGGTGGCAAGGTACAATTTCCTAAAAAAAAAAAAAAAAAAAGGGAAAAACCGCTGTGACGGCGGTGGGGCGCCCTGGCTGGACGCCCAGCCAGCGGTGGTGGCGCCAGCTGCAGACGCCGCCACCAGTTGGCTGGCGCCTGGGCTGGACGCCATAGCCACGGTTGTGGCGTTTATTCAAGGCGCCGCAGCCGTGGCTGTGGCGTCCAGCCCAGGCGCCAGCCCACTGGTGGCGGCGTCTGCAGCTGGCGCCAGCCCACTGGTGGCGGCGTCTGCAGCTGGCGCCACCACCGCTGGCTGGGCGTCCAGCCAAGGCGCCCCCCCCCTTTTTTTTTATATTTGTTTTAAAATATTGTTTTTTTTTTTTTGTGTAATATATTTTTGAATTGTTTTTATATTTTGTTGTTTATTTTATAAATTTTTTCAATTTCGTTGTATTTTTTCTATGTTTATATTTTGTTTACAATTATTTGTATGTTTTTAGTTTATTTGATTTGGGAGTGGTAGCTATTTTTCGTATAAATTTTTGTATGTTTATATATTTTAAAATTTTGTGTAGAATTCACTGGGTCGTCATGGTGCGGGGAAGAATATAGAGCTTCTTAGTAGAAGCTATTCAGTGGAGAGGTCGGGGCATAGACATGTCAGATCCCGTGGTATTTCGGCCTCAACTCGTAGAGAACGGATCCACCGTCGGGATGAGGATGACGATGACGATGATGATGCTGAGGAGGGTGACCAGGAGGAGGAGCAGGAGGAGGGCGCAGATGAGGATGAGGATGTGGACGATGGCAGTGGACCGTATGATGATTACGATCCATTCAGTCAGAGGGTTGATGACATGTACGAGACACATATGGTGGAGGTGCGTAAGGGTAGGGGTGGTAGGTTTGTTAGTAGATCTGGCACATCATCTACATCCACTGTATCTGGGGCAAACAGGAAACGATCGAGGGCCGGTAATGATTCTTGGGTTGTTAGGAGTGAGGTGCCCGGTGGGCCTGTTGACGGGAGTGTGATTCCTAGCTTTCTAGGACACATAGCTGCCCGTATTTGGGAGGACCAGGAGAGGCCTTCAGTTACGGGGTTGTTGAAATGTCATACCCGGGAAAAGACTTGTAGCTTTTTGCGTACATGGGCTGAGGCCTGGCCGGCGGAGAGCGAGATGTTCGAGCGACTGGAGGGCACTGGGGTGAATCACGTTCCTGCCACCATGCACGATAAGATTGACAGTACGCTGATCACGGCTTTCATTGAGCGATGGCAGCCGGATACAAACTCTTTCCACCTTCCGTTCGGTGAGATGACGATCATGTTACATGACGTCGAGGCCATTCTGGGGATTCGTGTTGAGGGTAAACGACTTTGTGCTGTGGCTGATGCGGATCAGGCAGATTTGCTGGCGGAGTTGTTGGCGGTGGACAGGGCTGCACTGTACACCGAGGCGCTAGGTGTTTGGGAACACGGAGGTGTGAAGATCGCATCCGTGTTGCAGCGGTGTTTGTACCCCAGTGCACGCAGGACGCACGACGCACAACTGAGTGCTTATGTTTTTCTACTCCTCGGATGTACCTTGTTTCCGGATAAGAGCGGCGGAAACAAGCTCAGGCCACGCGACATAGTAGAGGCGTGTGACCCCGACAGTGTAGGCCAGTTTTCCTGGGGATCGGCTACGTTGGCGTATTTGTATCGCCAACTAGGATTTGCGAGTCGGGCTGACGCGGCAGGTATCACTGGGTGTCTGACTCTATTGCAGACCTGGATATACGAGTACTTTCCTGCATTGCGACCACATCGTGACCCAGTTCCTATTGATGAGGGGATGCCGCGTGCTTGTGCGTGGAGTCCGCGCTCGGAGAAGAAGTCCGTTGACCGCCTCCGATCGATACGTTATTGCTGGACAGGCTGTCCCCCTTAGAGGTAACGTTTATAAATTGTTTCCACATTTTATTATTTGCACATATTATATTCATGTTATTAAATTTTATATGTTGTTATTGTACAGGTGAACTGGATGCCTTTCGGCCCGAACCCTAGTGTTAGGGTACCCAGGACCTTGTACACGGGACTCATTCAGTATCGTGAGATCGTCGAGGCGTACATGCCCCAGCGTTGTCTTCGCCAACTTGGATTTGTCCAAGTTGTCCCTCCTCCCCCGGCATGCCCGATGAAGGCGGTCCGACCTGCATCGTCGAGGGACTATGTCGTGCAATGGCCGGATATCATGACCGGGACGTGGGACCAGTTTCCGATGGTGGCCCGCTTATGGACTGCGGAGTTGCAGCGGCCGCCCTCTGGGGTTACTCCCATGTGTGACCATTACTACACGGAATGGTTCAACCGGTATTCGCACCCGAGGTTGATCGCAGATCTCGACCACAACGATGATGATTATGTGCCACCGCCTACTGCCACGGAAGCGGTATGTCTTTTATTATATTTATCGTTGTCTTTTAATTAAGTTTTATATGTTGTTATTGTATTTCATCTTCTGTTTTTTGTTGTATGCAGTGGATGGGAAAGATCATGCAGGACGTACAGAAACTCTCTCTTTAGAAGGACAGCATGAGTGCAACAGGGAGAGCTGTTGTTGATAGTCTGAAACAGACCCTTGCGCAGTGGAGTCGTCATCGAGGAGGGATTACTGATGGTTTTGTCATTTTATTTATAGAGCATTATGTTGGACATTATGTTGTAAGATTGTAACATTTTAGATTGTTCTTTTAGCTTCCAACTTAAACATATTATCAGTGCTGTTTTTAAATTTTGATATAACCGTTCGTGGATCCGCGCAACTTACCCATGCAACATATAGAATGCAGTAAGCAATACAATATAAAATATTAATGTTCTCATTAAAAGAGCAACGTACAAATAAGATTACAAATAAAGAATGTAAACATGAAAAACTAAAATGCAGCTAGGGTGTTCCATTCGTGGATCCGGTCATGATATAGCGCATCCCAACCCTCTACGCTCGCTGTGCGAATGTTGTACCACCGAGGTATAATTGGTGGCACTGGAAAATCGGTTGACATGTCTAGTCGGATGAAATGTCTGTATGACGACCCAAGAAACGCAATAACTAGCTCTCTAACCGGTGTGGTGACAGTCTCACGCGACCGCCAAGGGAGAACCGTGGTACAAGGATAATAAGCTTGACTATGCACTCCCAGGCCGAAATGCATGACTGCGCATTTGTACGGAAACTGATCAACATCGTTTCTTCCTATTCACCATATAATTATAGACAGTTAAGAAGGCAGGAGTAACACTTTAAAACTATGTGCAATAAAAAACAACCAAAACGTACCAGTTCTCAGGGGCATATTCACAGACGATGAAGATTGACTACGACTAGATGACGATGTCCGACCACGAGAACGACCACGACCAAGACCACGGATATACTTAAACGCACCCCTGTTCCGCCGTTGTCGACCTCGAGGACGGTCAACTCCTTCGGGTTCCTCATAATCTAAGGTAGACGGGTGGAACATGTCATGAAGTACATGAGTAGCGTCACGAATAATAGAAGGATGGCTGGAGGACACTCGGTCGTACATCGAACGAAACTGCTCCAACTCCTCCTGTTCACGGTCGACCGTTTGAGTGTCTGCATGCTCACAATAACAAGCGTCCTCCGAATGAATGGACCTGATCAATATGTAACGACGCCCTTTCTTCTGTAATAACGCGGTGAATGGTGCATGCGCAAGGTAATCCATGAGTTACTGAAATAGTACACACACACCGAGCATACACTTCGTCAGCCAAGTCCCTCACCCTGTTCAGCTCAGTGAGAATCAACCCCAAGCAGTAGTGCGACACACGACCATGGAGAATCTTAAATATAAATGGCTATACATCGTACCATGTCGTCGTCTGGAGTCCTCTAGAGAGTTCCTGATGTCGTTCTTCTGAGTTTCAATTGACTTGTTCAGTCTAGCGAACAGTGTATCCAAAGCAGCGGTCGATGAATCAATCCAGTCCTTGGTAGCTCTATGAGCGCTCTCAACTCTACATGTTGTAGTGTTCCCAAAATGAAGTACCTAGTTTGTCCAATATTTGACAAACTTTTCCCTGTGAGGGACCCATTGATGCATCACATAGTCCACCAGTGCCGGACACCACTGGTACGAATCCCTGAAGTTAGCCAATGCTCGCTCATACGCTTCCTCTGTGGTAGCCTGTAGGATCTTCCGCCACTTACCATTCACCAATCTCTCTGCCATTTCCAAATTCTTCTTGAAAAAGGTTGTAGGCTTTCACTTTCACGCAGTTGTTGATGTGCCATGTGCACAATAAGTGGTTCGATTCGGGAAACAGCTCTGCTATGGGGCAAAAGAGACCTCCCTCGCAGTCGCTGACGATGGCTGCTGGATGAACATTAGGCGCGATGTAGTTTCTCAGCTTCTCCAACACCCAATAATAAACTTGGAGCCGTCTCATCCTTGATGATTGCATGACCAATCAGAAAGTTCTGGTTCGTTGGAGCCATCCCAACCATCTCAACCAGTGGGAACTTGTACTTGTTTGACTTGTACGTTGAGTCGATCAAAATCACAAATGTCCAAGACTTGATCATATCAGCACAATCAGGATGCACAAGGAAAAGATGAGTCACCTCCGCTGTATCAGAATCAAACCAGAACAGGTAACCACGTGATTGTGCCTGGTGTATTAGCACGCTGTTGTATAGGGTTCCTTCCCTCTGACCGTTCAAAACCTGAGTTGCTGTCTGACGTTGTAGATGTGTCTTCGGTTTGGATGGTCTTCTGGAAATTTCTCTAACACAGATGCTAATATTTTAGCAGGCTTCACTTGAGCATCACTCATTTCTTTCACAACTAGTTTCGCAGCAGGACTTAAGCCGCTCAGTTGTCGATGACCCTCTTCATATACTATCATCTCATGGTTGTGATACCCCCATTTAGAGTAACCAATCACTTCCCAACCGTCACGACTCCGTAGTTGTCGAACCTTTACTCTGAACTCACACCCACAACCTTTCCGCTTTGTATCAAACCGAGTGGTTGTACGAAAATCTCTTTCTTCTCTTTTGCGATAACGATCCACATCTCAAAATGCGATCCATTCTACCATCCGTTGAGATTTATGAGTTACTACTACCAAGCAAAATCAGCTGCAATTGCAACCTGTTTTGCCCAATCAATCGCCTGTTGAGCTTCTTCGAAAATGGACCATCATGTCCAAATATCCCACTGTAATCATTTCCGTCTCCACCATATTCTTGCATCAATTATATATTACAATAAATACATTTAACGGATAATACATTTAATTTCTATATTTACACAGAATTAACACAAAAAAAGCATAATTATAATATAATCAAACTTAATTTTTAATAAAAACCCAATTCGAATTTTCAAACTAAATTTAAAAATATACCATTTCGAATTTTCAAATTTAATTTTAAAAAAACCTATTTCGAATTTTCAATTTAATTTAAAAAAAAAACCCATTTCGAATTTTTTTAAAAAATCATTTTCGATTTTTTTTTTAAAAAAAAATTAAATAAAAAACAACAACAAAATCAAAAAAAGAAAAAAAAAATAATTTATAAGGGTGGCGTCTGCCAGGGCTGCCACAACCACTGGACTGGCGCCTGCAGGGCCGCCTCACCCAGTGGAGTGGCGCCTGACCAGGACGCCAGTCTGGTGGTCTGGGCGTCTGGGCTGGACGCCACTCTAGTGGTTCTGGCGTCTGGCTTGGACGTCCAGGCTACGGTTTGGGCGTCCATCCTAGGCGTCGGAGCCACTCCGACGGTAAACCGTGAATTTTAACGGTGACTTACCTCGTTTTCCGTCGACGACGACGTACCTCCGGCGTCCCCCGCATCTCCGGCCTGCCTCCGATCTCCCCCGGCGAGCCAGTACGGCTCCACATTTTTTACACCGAGATTATTTCAATTTTAGAAAATGGGCATAATGGTCAAATCATATCATATTGTGGGCTTTATATGGTAAATTGCGGGCGATGTTTAGCGTTTCACTATAACTTTGATGGCAATAAAGACATGGATTAGTTTAAGATCTAAATACCTGCGGATGGCTTAACACTCGTTTCAGGTCTTCAAGTTTTACACCATGATTGGCTAATAAGCAATGCCGAATAACAACTTTTATTTCACATGGCAGATTAAGTTGAATCAACTATGTTGGTTTAATATATGTAATTTTTTATGGTAGATTCTTAATTATGCGGAAGTGAATACCACAAGTTGCTCGAGGTTCTGGTTGTGGACAAACGATTAAGGCGGTAGTACGCATATGAGATTGTCTTCACTTGTGGTATATATATCTAAACCATTCTTTGCAATATTAACTTATTTGTTCTGGTTGGTATAATGATTGTGAATTGTATGAGATTTTTAATTGTGATATAATTGATTGGAATTGCAATAATACTTGCATCATTGGCTTAGATACCCGTTCAGGGCTTACTCATTAGGAGTATGTCTTGAATAGTCCCCGGTTTGGGACTGTTCTTGAATGTTCTATCTCATTTAGGTGATAACTACTTGAATTGTTTTTGGGTCTAAGAAGATCATGGCTCACTATTTCCCGATTGTTCTCTGGGTACATATGTTGATAGCCGATTATCTACATTGTGTGCTCAAATCGAAGAAGATGAAGACAAGAAAAAAAAGGTCCTACGCACTTGTGATAAAACTTGGAGAGATTTTAAAACAAAATTGTTCAGTGGTTGGATCACATGTACTAGGAATATGCCGAAAGAGAAAAGAATGTTGTATGTACTCTATGATTTCATACATGAGGATATGTGGGAAAACATTTGTGGAGGAGCATAGTACAGATGATTTTAAGGTTTGTGTGTATTAATATCAATGATCATGCGGGTTATTAATACTTTGTTAACGGATTCTTATGTACTAATCTTCATTTATGCTCGTGAAAATAGGAAATCAGTGAGAAGGCAAGACAAAGCCAGTCTTTCAACGAATACCCTCACCATTTAGGAG